GAGACTTCATACTCTTGGCCTGACTGGTCATAATTTAAAGCAGACAAAATAGACTGAGATGGCTAAATTTTATAATTCAACTAAAGGATGTGGCCAATCAATAAAGCAGGAAGACAGGTTTATATGAGAATATTAATAACATTATAATTATAAATAATTGTAAACCATAATTATAAATAATTGTAAACCAATTAAATATTCAGCAAAGAAGAATCAATGAATAAAGTATAATATCTGCATTCAAATAATTTAATTAATTGTGGTATCTTCACTCATTAAAATGTATATGTCTCATAGTACCTCTATTGAGTAATAATAAATATACAATTTTAGAAGTAATAAGTACTTCACCAGACCTACATGCAAAACATGACTGTATCTCATAAATATAACGTTGAGAAAAATAAAGATTTGTAAACTGGGATGGCATAACACCATTTACAAAGAGCTTAAAAATATATGTTCCAAAAATATATGTTACAATGTTATTCATTAAATTAGGATTCACATTTATGTGGTAAAAATATTTTTAAGAAGTATAAAATGTTGAAGGAGTTATAATGATACAATTCATCTTTCAAAGATAAAAAAAAAACTCCACAAGTAAACTACTTGCCCCACAAGTAAAGAGCCCCAAGTCTCTTACTCTTTTTGTAACATTTCTTATTTTTTAAATTAATTAATTAATTAATTAAATGTTTAATTTACATCCAAGTTAGTTAGCATATAGTGCAACAATGATTTCGGGAGTAGATTCTTTAATGCCCATCCCCCCTTCTACAACCCCTCAGTAACCCTCTGTTTGTTCTCTATATTTGAGAGACTCTTATGTGTTGTTCCCCTCCCTGTTTTTATATTATTTTTGCTTCCTTTCTTTTGTGTTCATCTGTGTTGTATCTTAAATTCCTCATATAAGTAAAGTCATATGGTATTTGTCTTTCTCTGACTAATTTTGCTTAGCATAATTCACTCTAGTTCCATCCACATAGTTGCAAATGGCAAGATTTCATTCTTTTTGATTGCCAAGTAATACTTCATTATATATATAGATATATATATATATATCACATCTTTATCCATTCTTCCATCGATGGACATTTGGACTTTTTCCATACTTTGGCTCTTGTTGATAGTGCTGCTATAAACATTGGAGGGCATGTGCCCCTTCAAAACAGCATACCTGTATCCCTTAGATAAATACCTAGTACTGCAATTGCTGGGTTGTAGGGTAGTTCTATTTTTAATTTTTTGAGGAAACTCCATCCTGTTTTCCAGAGAGGCTGCACCAGTTTGCATTCCCACCAGCAGTGCAAAAGAGATCCTCTTTCTCCACATCCTTGCCAACATCTGTTGTTGCCTGAGTTGTTAATGTTAGCCATTCTAACAGGTGTGAGGTGGTATCTCATTGTGGTTTTGATTTGTATTTCCCTGATGATGAGTGACGTTGAGAATTTTTTCATGTGTCTGTTGCGATCTGGATGTCTTCTTTGGAAAACTGTCTATTCATTTCTTTTGCCCATTTCTTCACTGGATTATTTGTTTTTTGGTTGTTGAGTTTGATAAGTTTGATAAGTTCTTTATAGATTTTGGATACTAACCCTTTATCTGATATGTCATTTGCAATATCTTCTCCCATGCTGTCAGTTGCCTTTTAGTTTTGTTGATTGTTTCTTTTGCTGTGCAGAAGCTTTTTATTTTGATGAGGTCCCCAAAGTTCCTTTTTGCCTTTGTTTCCCTTGCTTCCAGAGACGTGTTGAGTAAGAAGTTGCTGTGGTCAAAGTCAAAGAGGTTTTTACCTGCTTTCTCCTCTAGGATTTTGATGGATTCTTGTCTTGCATTTAGGTCTTTTATCCATTTTGAGTTTATTTTTGTGTATGGTATGAGAAAGTGGTCTAGGTTCATTCTTCTGCATGTTGCTGTCCAGTTTTCCCAGCACCACTTGCTGAAGAGACTACCTTTATTCCACTGGATATTCTTTCATGCTTTGTCGAAGATTAGTTGGCCATACTTTTGTGGGTCCATTTCTGGGTTGTCTACTCTGTTCCATTGATCTGAGTGTCTGTTTGTGTTGCCATGTAACATTTCTTAATCTGTATTGTGAATATATGGACACATCCTATATTATTCTGTATAAGCTTTCTGTTTCTAACAGATGAAAATAAGAGTAACCCATATTATCATTGACAGGCTTGAAAATATCATGAGTTATATGAAATATACAGAGTTATTTCTATATAGTTATATTATCTATTATCCATATTTTCGCCATGGTTTGGAGAGACTGTCTTTATTATGTAACATATGGTATATGGATTTAGGCATTTGTATTGATGCTATTCTGCTCAAATAATCTGCCTGTGCCTGTACCATACCTTATTTATGGTATGCTGCCTGTACCATAAATTATTTAAAGTACAACCATGTTATGATACCTTTTAATATCTAGTAGGACAATAGTCCCTGTGTTATATCATTATTATTTTCAGATATTTGTTATTCCAGTTGGATTTCAGAATTATTTTGTCAAGATTACAAGGAAAGTGAATAATTGAAATTTGTTTGGATTGGCACTGATTTATGAATTCATTTGAAGGAGAAGGCATAGCCTTCAAATATAGTTCTGTTTTTGGTTTTTATGACACTAGAAAACAAAACCATGTAAGATCTCATAAATTATGACACATAATTAGTTCATATTTAAAATAAATTATTTTGTTTTCTTATTCACTAACTTACTCATTTATTTGACTCTTCTAATCTGCCCACTAATGCCAAGCATGATGCTAGTGACTGGGATACAGGATTTTGGAAGAAATCAGACCAGGGCTATTCTCCCTGGGTAGTGTGATTATCCAAAGAACAAGATTAAAAGTTGTGAAAGAGAGGTCAAGGATGCAGTACTATGTCAGCACTTGATAGGACTTTGGGACACTCTACAAGAAGAGATTCTTTAGAGGTTCTATGCAGGGAATTCACCGGACCATGGATGTAAAAGTGAGAAAGCAAGGCTAGGAAGAAAGGATTCTTTCTGGTTGCTACCTGTCATTGTCATCCATCAGGATCTCGCTGGGACAGAGAAGAAAGAATGACTGATGCAGGATTCTGATGTGGTACCAGAGCACAGCTTTCTGCAGGGAAGGCTGTGTGGATATGACTATGAGCAGGTACCCCCATGCTTGTCTACATTTGTTGATGATTCTTTCTGTTGATGTATTGACTGTTCCAGGCTCTTCATTCTGCCACTCCTTCCCTCAGCCCCTGCTTTACTCCTGCTGACACCTGACTTTGACCAAGTTTCCCTACAGGGCTAGGCTAAGGCAGAACTTGCACTACAATTTAGATATCTCAATTTAAAATTCTATTTTAATGTTTATTTATTTTTGAGAGAGAGAGAGAAAAATTGCATGAGCAGGGGAGGGGCAGAGAGAGAGGGAGACACAGAATCCAAACAGTCTCTAGGCTCTGAACTGCCAGCATTGAGCCCCATGTGGGGATCAAACTCATGAACCACGAGATGATGAGCTAAGCTGAAGTCCAATGCTTAACTGACTGAGCCAGCCAGGTGCCCCAACAGATTACAATTTAGAATCTAGCCCTTTGAGTCTTACTTCTGAATTGTCTTTGTATGATTTTGAGAGTAGTTGGACCTGTCCTTTGCATTATGCAATGGGTGTGCTAGACTATTTTGGGCAAATTTTCTTCCTCTGACCTAATGAAAAACAAATATGTTATATCTTGACCCAGAAGCTGAGGGGATGCTGGGATATGAGAAGTGGGATTGCAGAACATACCCTGAGGGAACGTCTATGGTAAAGCCATTGGCCTAGGAAACACGTTAGAGTAAAAAACCTGGAAGACAATAAGGACAGATGGAGCTAGAGCTGCTAACAACATTTTACCAGGGTATCCAACAACAGGGGCTGTACCTCTGACGCCTTCAGGAGCATGTCTACCCCAGTCATGGAGTAAGGTCCTACCGGCTTCCCACACTTATACATATCTGGGAAAGAGAGCCTTTGGAATATAAGCGGCCAGGACCTCCTCTACTTCCAGATTTAGCTTTAATTTCACTGTCTCCTCTCAGGCTCCTCCAGGACTGCCAAAGACTAGAACATGCCCAGAACTGCTAGGGTCAACCAGCCTCATCCCCTGGGAGCTTAGAGAAACCTCCAGGGTCAAGTTTATCCAAAATAGCAGTGGTGGCTTGAGAGTATGCGTTTGGGAAGGAAGGAGTAGCAAAGAGCTAATTCTGGGCACCTAGGGGGACTTTCCTTAGGTTACTTAAAGGGCCATACCATGGATTGTGGGTGCCGAGAGTGATGAGTGGAGACATGCCGGGCACAGAGTGTGTTCCCCATGAGCCACACGGGTGTATGTGTAGCTATAGCAACATACAGCCACACACACTCACACACACACATTTGAAGAAGGTGTCCAGGACCAGCTTCCCACACTCTGCCTGCCTCCTATTCCGGTAAGTGGTTCAGGTGAGGTGGCTTCGCACTTCCATCCTGGTATCCTGGTCTCAGGTTCCCAGAGCCCTGTCACTTGCTTCATTCTTGATCCTCACTGAAGAGTTCTTTTGTGGACTTATTTCATCTTAAGTGGACTGAGAGTGGTTTTGAATACTCTGTCACAGTGGTTGGTATTTCTATCCACATTTGCCGCACAGGCTTCAAGTGACATTCTCTAAATGGATACACATTCAAAATTACACATAATAATTTTTGTGAAAATGATGTCGTGTGTGAATAATGATTCAGTTCATCATGAATGACACATTCAAAATGAAATATGTATTTGTCAGATGTTACACCACATTATTATAACTCTAACATGACAGCATTCTACTATGCTACATGACATATGTTAGCTTGATTCCAGAATCATTTTTGAGTGTCTACACATTCCACCTTTTTAGTTTTCCATTTTGAAAACATTGATTCTTTTGGAGTTTGAGGTTCATGAAGTTTTTTTTATTGTTCTTCTCAGGTATTTCCCCAAAGAATCACCATGACCGTTTGCAATGCATCCCTGGGTCACCCACCTTTCTTCATTCTCCAAGGCATTCCTGGGATGGAGGACAAGCACAGATGGATCTCTGTCCCCTTCTCTTCCATGTACTTCATCACCATCCTTGGGAACTGCACCATCATCTTCACCATCTGCACAGAGCGCTCCCTGCACAAACCCATGTTCCTGCTCCTCTGCATGTTGGCCCTCACAGACCTGGGCATGTCCACTACCACCATTCCTAAGGTGCTGTGCATCTTCTGGTTTGGCCAGAGTGAGATCAGCTATGTGGGCTGCCTGGTCCAAATGTTCTTCATCCACTTCATATCTGTGTTGCAGTCAGCCATCCTGATGACCATGGCCTTTGACCGCTATGTAGCCATCTGTGAACCTCTGCGTTATGCCACCATCCTTTCCAATAGTCGCATTGGGCTCATTGGCCTGGTGAGTTTAGTGAGAGCCATCCTTTTCATTCTGCCCATGCCTGTCCTCCTCCAGAAGATGCCCTTTCGTGTAAATCACGTCATCCCCACCACCTACTGTGAGCACATGGCTGTGGTGAAGATGGTGTGTGTGGACACCACAGTCAACAGGATATATGGTCTCGTGGTGGCCTTGTTGGTTATTGGGCTGGACATCTCAGCTATTGCTTCATCGTATGTGCTTATCATCCAGGCTGTACTGCGACTATCTTCTAAGGAAGCCCACCACAAAGCAGTCAACACCTGCACCACACACATTTGTGTCATGCTTATCTCATACACCCCCTCGCTGTTCTCTTTTCTCACTCACCGCTTTGTTAGGGGAATTGCACCCCATGTGCACACCATTCTTGGGAACCTCTACTTCCTTGTTCCTCCAATGCTCAATCCTATTATTTATGCAGTGAAAACCAAAGAGTTTCGGGACAAATTGACCAAATACGGGTGCTGGAAGAAGGACCCTGTAACCATAACCCATGGTCAGAAGCCTGTCTGATCATCCAGCAGTAGTGGGTATGAGGAAAAAATGTTTAGTGGAGGCAGTTCCTGGGAGTATTGACTGGTGATGAGATATGTCGTATTGGGCAGATTGACTGTCCCACTCTTGGACAGAGAGGCTATGTCACAGGAGACCTCCTTGCTCTCAGTAACTCTAAAGGTCTAAAGGAAGAATCGTTGCCTATGAAGTTAGAATAATGACATATTCTCTCCTTTCTTGACATGCCAGTTGGGAAAGTTATATTGATCATGTTTTTAAAAGCACTTTCAACAAAACACACAGAGTGCATAGAAAATAAGTTAGGATGTTTCCATATGGAGACAACATTGAGCAAAAATAACTGGCCCACCACTTTACCATGTAAGAGCAAGAATTATGTGGGTGTGAGCATGCATTTGTATTTGTTTGCTTCAGGGGAAACGGGGAGGTGGAGATTGGGGGCAATGAGAAAGGACAAGGAAGAGTAAATTAACATTTATAGTCACTTCTTTATTTTCTCTGCTAGTTCACCTTACGTTTGGGTAAGAGACTGGTTATTTCCATGAAGAACAAAGGAATATGCACAGGAGACATGAGCTGCCAGTCTCAGACAGCTCTCAGAGGAAAAGGAAAAAGGAGAAGCTCCTGACCGTAAAGGTTTACAAGCATTGGACCTAATTTCCTACTTGTAGAAACTCCCAGAGTCAACTGTTCTGCTCCTCTGAATGAATTCACTGTTTGACAAGATTCTCTCACAAAGAAAATGTCTGAGAATGCCCTGCTAATAGTTATAGCTACAAAAATGGATTTTGTACTGGAAACCTTTGAATGCAGACCTCTGTAAGGCAATTTCTATGGGTGCCCAGGAGGACGTCCTGAACAGGTACTCATGGCAGCTGTGCAGTTCAGGTCTTGTGCCCACGTGTGGGAATTCATTAATTCAGAGGATACCGTTTCTCATTCTAGAAGGTTATTGTAGATATAATGGTGAATATTGTAAATTTCATGAAGCTGAAACCAGAAAGATTCTAGTGTTGTTCATCATATTGTATAACTAATATATGAGGCAGAATTCAGTAAAAATGATGCCTATGGTTCAAGCCACATGACCACCATTTAAGTGAGTCTCTTACAGTAGTTTACCAGGAGGGAAAGAAATGAACCTTCTCCAGAGTGTTGTGCCTGCGGTAAGAAATAATAACAAATATTTCCAGTATGCTGAACCATTGGATACCAAGGGCTAGGACATTTCAGAACTTGAAATAAAGGGCACAGGCTTGAGGCGGAAAAAAAAAATGAGGATTGAACAGGAAGTGCCTTTTCTATGAATGGAAGAAATAGGAGCAGTAGGTTTGAGGAAGAGTCCTGCCTGTCTGGTTAGAGGACCAAGGTCAGATAGTTAATCCTCCACAAAACAGACCAAATTCAAACCAAAGCCAAACTATTCAGCTCAATGGCTTATGATGTAAATGACCTATGTATGTCAGGAGTGAAGGGGACTGAGGCATTCATTAGCCTGAAGAGCTGTGATAACAGGAGGCTTAGTTTTTGTTGAGATCTGAGAGTGATTTTCTTTTAATCTTATTTGAAGGATTTGAGATACAGAAGGGAATCCACATGCTGTAAATATTTTTTTGTTTTGTTTTGGTGAGATATTCTTTAAACATGAGTAGCCTTATTTTGTTTTGTTTTTGTTTTTGTTTTTGTTTTGCTGAAATTATGGGCTAAAGATTTATTAAGGTCTGAACACAGCACACCTTGGGAAAATGTACTGGGAAATTGGCAGCAGCACCTGGTTCTGTGAAAACTTGGGAAACTGAAAATCAGAGAAGGTATGGAAAGGAAGCCTGACTGTGTTTCTTTTCTCACTGGTATTTTTCTTTCTTCACAAGTGTTATTAATCTATGGTTGATTGTGTTTACTGCAGCATGACTTCTCTCCTGTGGCCTTGACTTCTCTCCTGTGGCCTTGCTGAAAATGTGACAGTTGATATTACTGGACAACGAACTGGTTCCGAACTCCGGTTCAGCTGCATGCTGCTTGAAAAATCAACACTGGAGAGATAAATGATGGTGGGTGAGGAGAGATTGCTTTATTCCAGAAGCAAGCAACCCCGGAAGATGGTGGACTAATGTCAGAGCCTGTCTTTCCTGTCCAGGCATAACTAGAGGGATTTAAAGGAAGGCATAGGGCAGGTAGGGGAGCTACGTGCAAGAGAAACAGGTGCCCAGGTATTTAGTTGTATGCAGACATGACCCTGAACAGACCTGCTGGCATCCCTGGTGGCTGTTTTGAGTATAGTTATGCCTTATGTGGGAAATTTCTGGCCCTTTACTCCTCAAGGCTAGTGGTCTGCAGTTGTCAAGGAAAGCAAATGAGTTCTGCTGCAACCAAAGGACTTATGTCAGCACACAAGGTGTGCATTAGCTTGCAGCAATTAACCCTTGAAACCGGTTGCAGTGCTGTTAATGACAAATATGTTAACTGACTAGTTTACCCTTCATGCCTATAGAATTGTTTCTAGCCATGCAAAAATTAGAACAATGTTCATATGATTGATATCCTGGTCAAGCTTTAATCACTCTCTGCTTGGCTTTCAAGTCTTTGGAGGCTAATTTAATGCCAAGTCCTCTTCATTTTCATTATCTCCACTGAGGAATTTTTGTCTTGAGATGTCCTAAGTCTCTCAAAACAAATTATAGATAACTATGCTAATGTTCGTATAAATAATGGTCTTATAAATAAACAATTTTCTCATAAACTATGAGGGAGGCAACACATCTGAATGGAGTCTCAGGTATTGGAGCAGAAGAAGCTGAGCGAGCAAACTCTAGCTGGAGTTCCTTGACTAGGTTTTATGTTTTACAGCTAATTCTCTAGGACTCTTGGCTCCACCCTGTGGGGAACGTAGTTCTATCTTCTCGGTTCATGGTTTCACCCTTAGTGATCCTTACTTTTTCGTGAATGGTTACATATGTTTGCAGCTGAGTAATTTTTAGCCTGTTTCTTGCCAGTAGAATTTTGAAGGTTCAGGGCTTCCTTCCACTTTAGCAGGAAGAGGTATGGCTTCTTTCTCAAGTCAGCAGGAAGGAATCATGTGAAACCAGGTGATTTACTTGGGTACATACTGGTACTCCCTTGCCCTGCCATAAGACTAAATGAACATGTGAAAACATCCTGAACTAAAAAGGAGATATGACCCTCAAGTGTTTAGACACTTTCAGAATGAAGTTTGGGGCCACACAGGTAAGTCACAACACCTGCCTTGGAGATAGCCAATGGTGAGGGAAATCCAGATTGGAGAGTGGAGGAAGGCAATGATGAGCATTAGTTGCAGCCCTGAGATCAACTGCAGAATTCATCCCACTATTGTCCTCCGGGAAGAAGGGAACTTCTTGAACCCGTGGGGAGTAGAGCTGAGCTGTATAAAGGGTAAATTATGGCAGCCAGGAGAAGGTAGATTGCAGACTTCATCCTACAGAAAAAGTAACCAGATGAGGGCCCCTCTGCTTGCCAAAGTCATGCCTACCAGAGATTGCTTCCAGGCAATGATTAGGACTGACCCTGGAGATACTAAGGGCAGAGCCACACCTGGAAGGTTAAGAAAAAAAAAGTCTTCTGACTTTAGCTTCAAGACTTCCCAGTGATTTTGCTGCACAGAAATCCAGATTGCTTTCACTCAATATTTTCTCCCTCCTTCACTCATGGTCAAACTTGGATTGTAGTCTGATGATTTTCCCAGTCTCCCCTGTCTCCCTAGCTTCATCCACACAGGTATTTCCACTAATAAAATAATTCCATGTTTAATTTTGTCATAGAGTCTCCTTCTCTGAGGACCCAGACTAACATAGTTCTCTTGGGCAAACCCAAAAAGAAGGCAGGTGTCATGGTGACTGGCTGATGCATCCCATCAAAGCCAACTTCTAGGGGTACAACGTGTATCATAACAGTGGAGATTGGATGGAGGTGAGGTGGGGCATTAAAAACAGTGTAACTAGAAGAGGAAGATATTTTCAGCTTTCCAAATAGTGACAACTGTTTATTCTACAACGTACATACTCTTAATTATGAGTATTAGGAATGAGGTAGGCACATAATAGTTGCCATGTTTTTATGATTAACCATTCATTTTTTTTTTAAATTTTTTCAATTTTTTTTTAATTTATTTTGGGACAGAGAGAGACAGAGCATGAACGGGGGAGGGGCAGAGAGAGAGGGAGACACAGAATCGGAAACAGGCTCCAGGCTCCGAGCCATCAGCCCAGAGCCTGACGCGGGGCTCGAACTCACGGACCGCGAGATCGTGACCTGAGCTGAAGTCGGACGCTTAACCGACTGCGCCACCCAGGCGCCCCTGATTAACCATTCTTGATCAATGTTACACTTAGTCTTGCTGCACAACTTCTTGGTTATCTTTAAAGAGACAACATGGGCATAATAGCATGGGAAGACATTTTATCATCAAAAAGAGAATTTAGAATCAATCACTTACTACCTGTTTAATTATGGGAAAATTACAAAGAAATTGAACTTCTGTAAATTTACCTGCAAAATGGATATTATTACATAACGAGTTAAAGTTGAAATGGTTCCCTAAGCTATTATATATTAAAAAACCCAGCATAACTAGCCTAGTGGCACAGAGCCACTTAAACAGATGGTATTTCTGCTGAAATTGATAGAATGTGAGAAACATAAGATAGGCCTCTTCCATTCACTCCTATTCTAGGATGGAACTACCTTAACCTTAGCTATTTCCCTGAACTTTATGGTTTCTTATTACCCAGTATCCTCACATATTTATCCAAGGTTTGAATGTTATCATTCTTCTCCATCACTGATATTATATTGGTGACAGTAGAATACTCAGTCCTTTATTTTCTTGCTTTTTTAAAACTCTAACATGTTGACCATGATAGTGGCTGAAAGTCAGTATCAGGCATAAATCCTCTCTCTATGCTCCAACCTTCGATGGGAAATCTGGGTTATGAAGTACAAAAAGGCCAGGGAAGCCTTTATAGATTAGTTACCTGACTCTCCCCTTTTTCCTTCCCCTCAGTCCAAACTTCCCCAACATACTCTATACAAAAAAATACTTTCATAGTTAAGAATGAATTAGGATATTTCTTTACTAAGAGAGACAAATAGCAGAACAGGCTAGAGATAATGGTTTCTTTCTTTTCTTGTGTGGATAATATGATTCACTCCCGTTTTGTAGGCATCCCCCTACACTGAAAGCTAGGCAAGACCAGTGGAAACTGAAGGAAAAGGGGTATTTAGTACAGAGGGCTCTCTCTGTCAAAGTCACATGAATTGAGGATGTTCTTAAGGTTTATAGACTGGTGAGCTGAACAGAGTAGAGAGGAGGTCAGGATTGGTCAGAAGTCCTGGCTAGGGATAAAAAGTACATGCACAACTCCTTCTCACAGT